ACTCCTCATTCACTCACATAACTCTATCTCTGATTATTGTATTCCCCTCAGTCTCTACTCTAAAATTAGTAAATAACTTATTTGACTGCAAAAATTCACCTTCCTGACTTTTAAACCTCTGATGTTCAAGCAATATAATACAGAATCTCCCACTAAGTATTTGACAAGGAACAGAAAACTACTTCTGAGTAAGGCAGAAAAGACTGGCAACTTCTCCTTAAACCTTACCCACAAATATTAGCAAGATTCCCAAGAGTAGGAACAGTAGTTACTCTCCAAATTAACCTTTTGGCACTCGGTTTAGAACACTCAAAGTATTCCTAATAATCTAATACTTCATCCCCATTACTTTAAAACACTTTTTAGAAAAAAAATTTGTGACTTACTTTAAAAAACAATCTATAATTTTTAAATATGCACCAGCCACTTCTTTGGAGTTTTTAGCTCATTCTTCTCTTATGTATACAAATAAAAATACCTGAAAATCAATCTTTCAACTTTTCTGCAGGCCCATCTAAGTTGGATTTTACCCCTGGCCTCCTATACTTGCAGTCTTTCTTATTTTCACTTTGAAATACAGAAATAATGCAATGGTTGCTGGGATGTTCAAAACAATACTAGTACTTTGTGAAGTCCAAGGGCCTACTGCTCAAATTCATTCAAAATAGCTAGAAAACACTGGAAAAATTCTGTTTTTGCCCTCTCTCCCTCCTACCTATTTCCTAATTCATCTCTGCTGACATGAGGGGGATAGAGAAGTAGAGAATGCCAAAGGGCACAAAAAGGGGGAAAAGCTGAGTATGAAGTCTTTGGTGGAAATCACTTCATTTTCTCATTGACGAACAGAGACAAAGGTATCAACACTAACAAAAGAATGACCTTCTGGTTCTTTCCTTCTTTTATACTGCTTCACTTCAGCATACACTGATTATCACATTTCATTAACTGTAAAGGCTGTTTTTTACTATATAACTTTATTTAACCTCTATGGCCTCATCTCTGAATATCAAGTTTCACCAGTTGCTTCCAAGCTAACACATGCTCTCTCTTTAGAACACTGTTACATTTAAAACAGTTTTAGGTTGTCTGACAGTACAGTCTCTGTACTTGATTCTGGCAACAGACTATCAAAGCCAATAATAGTTCTATAAATTTTTACATTTAAAGAAAATGTTAAAAAAATAAAATAAAACTTTTCATTTTTGTTTTTCAGAAGAGTAAGGAAAAAGTAGAAATATGTAAACCATACCTTTCTTTTTTTGAGACAGGGTCTCACTCCGTTGCTTAGGCTAGTGTGCAGAGTGGTATGATCTCAGCTCACTGCAACCTCTGCCTCCCTGGCTCAAGCCATCCTCCCACCTCAGCCTCCAATTAGCTAGGACTGAAGATGCATGCCACCATACCTGGCTAATTTCTGCTTTTTTTTTTTTTGGTAGAGACAAAGTTTTGCCACGTTGCCCAGGCTGGTCTTGAACTCCTGATCTCAAGCAATCTGACCATCTAGACCTCCCAAAGTGTTGGGATTATAGGCATGAACCACCACGCCCAGCCACAGTATGCTTTCCTAGAGACAGTCTGGACCTAAGACATTTGTATTATTTTAGAGTCAATAACACATTTAAGTATAATTTCAATTGTTCAGAATATTATATTCTTGTATTTAATGGTAAGAGGTATTATTTCACCTTTCAATTTTGTCACATTGCAAATTTCAAGGAAAACTAAAGTTATATAAGTCTCCAGAGTCATTTTATGAAGTTTTCCAAAATGCAGTTGGTTAAGTTTTTTTTCCCTTGCCTTACACTCAAGGTAAAGAAATAAATTATTTTCCACCATTGGAAAAAAAATTGCACAAAATGCTGTGTGGTTCCCAAAACAACTGCTTTTTCTAAAAGTTCTCAACGATTTTCATAGTATAAATGCTAAATTACCCCAACAGAAGTGTAACACAATAAGTTTGAAGGAAACCAGAAACCACTATAAACAGCAACTTAAAAGATTAGAGTACCTGGGTGCCAATGGCTCACGCCTGTAATGTCAGCACTTTGGGAGGCCAAGACGAGCAGATCACTGGAGGTCAGGAGTTTGAGACCAGCCTGGTCAACATGGTGAAACCCCGTTTCTACTAAAAACACAAATATTAGCCAGGCATGGTGGCGTGCGTCTGTAATCCCAGCTACTGGGGATGCTGAGGCATAAGAACCGTTTAAGCCCAGGAGGCAGAGGTTGCAATGAGCTGAGATCATACCACTGTACTCCAGCCTGGGTGACAGTGATATAACAACTCAAAAAAAGAAAATGTGATATAATCTTCAAGAAATTCAAAGCCTGTTGAGGACTATTATATCATTATTCCTACCAATCCCATTACATTTTCTAGGAATTTCATTTATTCATTAAAAAAAAAAAGATGAAAGTAACTTATTTTGTTTTTTCCACCTAACATTATTGTTAAAGTTTTACTTTTCAGGTTAGCACTGCTTTTAGAAAAATCTATGCAAAGTATGAGTGAGACAGCTGCCTAAGCCATGAGGCTTAGCCCTAGACAACATTTATTCAGAATTGTTCACAGACTTATGGCAACCAACATTTTTGGTATAAAACTAAATATGATGTCAACTTGTATTATGTCTAGTCCTATCAGAGGAAGACTGATCTGGGGGCTCAGAAATCTATTAGGGTTAGGGGTGTCCAATCTTTTGGTTTTCCTGGGTCACATTGGAAGAAGTATTGTCTTGGGCCACAAATAAAATACACTAACACTAATGATAGCTGATGAACTTAAAAACAAAATAGCAAAAATATCTCATGTTTCTTTAAGAAAGTTTATTCATTTGTATTGGGTCACATACAAAGCTATCCTGGGTGGAATCTGGGCCTCAGGTTGGACAAGCTTGTGTTAGGGTCTCATCTCCAATCTTGGCTAGCTATATAATTATGGATAAAGAATCCCACCAGTCCAAGCCTCAAATCCTCATCTATACAATGCTGAGGCTAACCTAAGATGATCTCTAAGATTCATTTCAAACATAATTTTATCTTCATCATTCCTACCACTCCCATTACATTTCAAGGTATTTCATTTATTCATCAAACAATTATTAAACACCTACTGTGTCTCTAGCACAAACAGTTACTGAGTGTACATTTTGATCATACCACTGGCATATTAGAAAATTAGTTAACACATAAGCTTAAAGTTAATAATGGGATTAAGAAAAAATAGTTAAGTGGTTTATTTGGTTTAGAACTCACAGAATGATGGATTTATGGATCAGTACAAAACTCTCCACATTTGACACTGCTCAGAAAATAAGAATGTTATTAAAATACTGTGACTAATCAAAATATAACAGGTCTACCACTGACACGATAAAACCAACTGCCAATATGTATAAACTCTATTTCTGGCCCATAAAAGACAAAAAGGTATGATAAAGTCAGCTTTCATGGGGACAGAATCTCAGTCCAATCTCTAACACGAATACATTTCTGAATAACAGTCTGTGCTGATCCTTCTTGTCAACTTTTAATCCTTCCAACTGATGAAAAACATGAGACATCTGTTTATTTTAAGTACATGCTAGTGGCTGGCTTTTTCATCTTCACTTAGCTTTGTACAATTGTACAGAATGCATTAAATGCTTAATACAAACACACACAATGCCTCCCACTCAACTCCTAGCAGGGAATGGGGGTAAAAGGATAACTCAGATAAGGAACACGCAAAAATTAAATCCTAGAAGAAAGATGGAAAAAAGAACAAATAATAACACAAGGCAAACTATGGTATTAAATAGTTAAAACTTCAGGGTCTTAATAATGTGTTAACTCCCTGTTAAGACAAAAATAAATAAAACTGAGGGTTCCTGTAATAGGAAGAGAACAGGAAAGAAAGGCAGGAGGAGGAGGGGAGATAACATTTACTCAGCACGTTACAGGTGCCAGGCACTATGCAGGTAGTTTTCGCTTATTCTTCTCAGGAACTCACACATGAAAATATGCCTCAACAGGTGATCATCTGCAGTAAGAGTTAACCATTGCCCTTCATAAAAAGATTCCAACAGCCTAAGGGTGTATTCTAACGCACTGGCACTGTGGACGTAAACAATCATTCTGCCTAGAATCTTGTATTTGGAACTGGAAGAGGTCTTGGATCACCTAGGCAACCCATCCATCTTATAAACGATTAACCTAGACCAGACAAGTTAAGGGGCTGGACTAAGGTCATCCTTGTTTAGAAGCAGAGTTGGGATCAAACCAATCATCAATACATGGGTATGCCCCTCTGCTGGTAACTGTTCAGTGAAATTGAGTCATTACTAAGTTACTGACCACCTATTAGTACTTTATTAAAACAATCCTAATTATCCGATTATACAAACAGCACAGAATCTCCAAAGAATTTGTCAATTTCTATATATGTTTTAAACCAACTGATAACCAGTAACCTGTGTTTGAATCTGTCTATTTCCCTGACTGCTCTCCTCATTAAGATCCCAGATGCAGAGCGGTGTTGGAGGAACGAGAGGTGATCGGTCGCTGAGGTAAGGATCGCCTCCTATAAAGCCCCACGTCGATGATCCTGGCCCTAGGCTCCCTGTCCCCTCCGCGATTTGTAACCCCTGAGCCGGGCTGGAGGACGGAGGATGAGTGTGCAGTAACGTGGCTCCCGCGCCCTCGGCTCGCCGATTACCCTCGCGACGCCGGGCCGGTTCCGAACGCGGACTGGACCGTTAAGGGGCTGCCTGGGCCGCTACGCCCCGCGCGGGCCGCCCCTCCCCCACCGCGGCCTGAGGCGAGAGGCGCTGCCGGCCGGGCCCCCACGGCTCCCCGAGAGAACAATACAGGGGGTCCCCCGAGAGACCGTACACCAAGGCTCGCACCGCGGGCCTCGCAGACAGCGGCGAGCCGCAAGGCCGCGAGAGACCACCCCGCAGGAGAGCGAGTGAGGAGGCGGTTATTTAGGGGGTTCAGAGGCCGCCGTGGCCTGACCGTACCTGACTCCAGGTGATGAACTCGTTAGTGTGGGTTTCCTCCACAAGCGTCCACAGCTTGCTGAGGAAAGCCGGCACGTTCGAACTCTGCTTCATTGTTAACGCGGCGCAGGGATTCCAAATTCTACACCCGAACACTGTGGTAGTGGCGACGGCGGTGAAGGCAGCAGCTCCCGGAGAACGCCCACAACGCAGGCGCAGCAGATCTCGGTCCCCGCCCCCCAACCCCGCCAGGCGCGCGGTGAGGCCGAGAGGCAGGGCTGCCGCACGTGACGGACAAGTCTCCTCGCTCCGCCTGTTCGCGCAGTGGTTCCGCGCCGTTCCAGTCCCTGGCCAATCCCAGAGGCCGACCACACGACAGAGAAAAGTGATTGGCTACTACAGACATGAAGGGGGCGGGAGCAGAAAGGGGTGGGAGCAGAAGGGGGTGGGAGCAGAAGGGGGTGGTAGCAGAAAGGGGTGCTGCCTTCTCATTTGCCTTTTATACAGAAGGCTTGAGGGTAGCCGGCCTTTGGCTTGGGCGACCGTGTTTGGTTGTTTCACGTGGAATAGCTTATGGTTTCTGGACTGTGGCTGGGAAGCTACAAAAAGCCCTCTAGGGCCTTTGAGTCATAAGTTTGGCAGCCAAAGTGTGGTTTCCACCAGTTTAGAGAAAGGATCATTCGCGTAAGGAAAAAGCCAGCTCTTAAGCATGATGTGCTAGGCCTCAAATTGAAACTATCTTAAAAATAATGAACCTTGTTCTTAAGTTTTCATTGGAAGAAAAAGCCCTCTTTAAAATGCATTTATCAAAAAGAGCAGTTTAAAAAACTCACTCTCTACTGCTTAGAGCTGTAAACCAGGAACTGCAATTGATAGTACATCATGTGCTGTTTTTAATCCAGTCATCAAGTGCCTACTCTGTACCAGAATAAAAAGAAACAGGCTTGTTTATATTATTTTAATTAAAATAGTTGTTCCTGTATATACTTTACAGATCTATTTTTTTTTTTGACCTGAGAGATTGGTATAGTGGGAAAAAATAATGAAACAAAGCCTCTTGGACATTTTACTGTGTATTAAAATAAGCCTGTACTGTCATTTAGAGCAATTCCTTAGCTACCAGTGCCAGTTTTTCCCATTTCTTGATTGGGAGTAAGATCTATCTTTTTACCCATTAAGAGTGTCTTTAATAATATGGTTGTGAATATGCTTTGAAAATATGAAGTCTACAAAATTAAACATTTATTTATTTTTACAAAAGCTGGCATGTGAAGACAAAAACTTACAAACAAGTAAGAGATAACACATTATACAAAAATTCAGCATAGAATGGGTTTAGTTCTTGGGTAAATATAAAATAGTACATTAAATATATATATCTTCCAAAGAGCAAATATTTATTGAATACTGCCTTTGTGCTCAGCACTGGGATATTGGCTGAAGCAAAATCAGATATAAGGAAGCGTACATGTGATAGAGGAACTAAAATTTTATGAGCCCTTATATATGCCAAGAGCTTTACATATATTATTGAATCATTCACAACAGGTCTTATTATCCCATTTTCCTAATGAAGATTCTGAGACTCAAAAGTTGATTAATTTCCCCAGTCACAGCTAGTAAGTGGGAGACAGTATTTACACCTAAGCTTTATTGAGCTCAAAAGCATGTGCCCTTTCCATTGTAAAATGATGACACTATCTCAAAGCTCAAGATGCTTGTATTCAAACTCTAGAAACAATATGAACACAGTGATCAGCACTCATTGATATATTAAAAAAGCTAAATGTTTGGTATAAAATAAGTACTAGATACGTTTAAAAAGACAGATTAGTAGGTTAAGGTGGTAAGGAAAGATTTCATGGAGGATAGGGACCTTAAGTTGGGTCTTGAAGTAAAAATATATTTGAATAGCTAAAAGGATGACAACAGAGAGAGCAAAAACCAGGAAGCTAATGATCATGTCTATCTACGGAGGGAAACAGCTCAGGAGGTAAGATTGGTAATGTCTAAGGGGGAAACGTGGCCTACTTTCATGCAATTATATTATGTTAATGTAAAAAATATATAGTGTGTTTAGATAGAAGCAGAAACTTGTCTTTGGACATTCAAAAGCTGAGCACTCATAGGGCTGAGCTTAGTGGGTTGTCACACTTGGTTTAATGCTCTGCTCTCACTCTCTTGAAATTCTTAATTTTTGATCAATGGACTCTGCATTTTCATTTTACAATGGACCTTGCAAATTCTATAGCTGATTCTGTTTCCAATGTATGACATCTTATAGACCAAAGTTTGAAACAAGTGGTTCTCAAACTTAAGCGTGCATCTGAATCACTTGGAGAGGAGAGCCTTCCAGTAAGCAAATGAGCAATATCACCTATCAGGTAGTATTTGTAATACTTATACGACCAGTGATAGGGATATTATTAACCAGATAAGGAAACCATGGCACCAGAAAATTAGATGATGTATCCAAAATCATCTAGCTAACGTTAGAATTGAAACCAGGTCTTTCATAGTTTGAAACATGCTTTTTAAATTTACACCAATGTGTGTCAAACTTTAGCCCAGAATCACTTGGATGGCTTCTTAAAAAACAAATTGCTGCTTCTGCTTCCATGACACTCAGTGAGTCTGAGGTACAGGCTAAGAATGTTTATTTTTAACAAGTCCCAGATGATGCAGATGCTACTGGCCCTGGGACCGCATTTTGAGAACTGCTATTATAGAGGAAAAAATAGTAAACTGACCTTCCCTTGCTACTAACATGAACGGATTTATTGTTATACTTCACTTCTTTTTTTCTATTTTTTTTAGACAAAGTCTTACTCTGTCATCCAGGCTGGAGCGCAGTGGTGTGATCTTGGCCCACTGCAAACTGCCTGTCAGGTTCAAGGGATTCTCCTGTCTCAGCCTCCTCAGTAGCTGTGATTACAGGTCTGCACCATGACACCCAGCTAATTTTTGTATTCTTAGTAGAGATGGGGCTTCACCATGTTGGCCAGGCTAGTCTTGAACTCCTGAGCTCAAGTGATCTGCCACCTTGGCCTCCCAAAGTGATGAGATTACAGGTGAAAGCCACTGCACCTGGCCACGCTTCCTCTCTTAATAAAAGCCAGATATTCCAGGAATAACTTAAACTACTATGTTTTGTTTTTCTTAATTGTTAATGTTTATTATAATTAATACAGTTTCTGAAAAACAAAATGTTGAATAAAGATTTCTTTGGGGGAAAAGAAAATTATAACTTGTTGGCTTGTTTGTGCTTGTTTATAAAACTGAGAGGGGAAGAAAACCAAATCAAGGTTTATCTCACAATTATCTGCCACCTATAATATCCCTCAAGTATCAGAAGAAACAGATTTGAGTCCGTGTCAACAATTTTGACATGTTTATAACACAAGAGGATAAAAATTCACTTTCTTAAAGGAGTTGCCTCCTATTAACTCCAATTTAAAAAGCTGGATTATTTTCATGGTTCATTTGCAGCCTAGAATGATAAGACTTAGATTGAGAATAACATTAGAAAATATGAATGACCCAGACCTTTGCCTAGGAAATAAAAATGCATATTGTGGAGCAATTTTTGATGCATCAAATCATCAGACCATGCCATAAATTCTATCCGATCAATTTTGCAAAACTAATTAAATCAACAGTGCAACCAGAATTAGCTTTTAAAGATCTTTTTTCAAGAAAAGGATGATTAAATCCAAAGATGAACTGCATAGAGGTTTCCACCTATATTGCTATCTGGACAAAGTGTTGATTTTCTTCAATTTTGGAATGACTTAGGAGGCCTTAGGAAAATCACCTAACATTTCCCAGTCCTTGTTCCTTATATGTAAGATGTGAATGAAAATACCTGCTATACTCACTCCACAGGGTGGTTTTGAAGATCAAAGTAATTGCCTTTTCCTCCAGTCCACTTTCACAATCTTTATGGATCTCTTTCTAAAACACAAATTTGAAAAGGTCACTTCCTGACTTAAAACTATGCAGTGACTTCCCATAATTTCCAGGATAAATTCAAACCCCTTAAGGGGCATAAAAGGCCTTCTGTTATCTGATGCCACCTACCATTTCAGTTATTGTCTACCATTGTTTACAACGCCTTTCCCTTAGCCACAACCATTTGCTTGTAGTTACCTCACTGGCCATGTTCTTTTATACCTCTATGTATTTCCATAGGCTGTTGTCTCTACTTGTAGACCCCTTCTTCTTCCTCTAAATGCTTCCTCAACCTTCCAGGTAAAGTACAATTCCATACAAACATAAATTCTTTTGTGAAATCTTCTTTGGTAACGTTTATTATAGCACTTACTGCATCATATTATAAATACTTATTCACAGGTATTTTTTATTCTAGCCTACGAAACTGCTTCAACATAATATATGCCATATGTACATTCACTTATTTACAATGATATTCACAGTGATACATGTTAAAATATCAATAAATATTTGTTGAATTAATAAATGAATATGTGAACAGGTAAGTGTTCGTATTAGCCATCCATTTAGTGTTGCATGACCCCCAAATCTGTATTAGTTGTTCCTCCCAGTATAGCTTCTGGAAACTGACCTTCATAGTTTTACCACACCGTTGCTGCTCATTTACTTCTCAGCAACCCTCACTAGACTAGCAGATTGTGCTTGAATTGTTCACGCTTGTAACCTGAGCACTCAACGCAGTGCTAATAATAACATAGGACCTGCTTAATAAGTATTTGTTGAATGAATAATTTTAGCTTTTGAAATCCTTTGGATAAAATGTACTCTACCTAATAATAAGGAAACCCCTTACAATTTATTCTCAGTTAGTAGAAACATTTTTGTTTACAAGAGAAGAAAATGAGAAGAGCTTAAGGATAGCTCAACTGAGAAGCATGTGAATGAGGAGCTGTTAGTAACTGAGCAAATATTAGAATCCTGGAAATGCCAGATGTTAGCAGAATGCTACAGTGACCCAGGTTTGAGGTCATTTATATCTTCAAAACAAATGATAGTGGCAAAATGCTTAAGGACCCTTGAATGGGCTTTTGAGTAAGTGAAGAGCTAGAAGACCGTGAAAGTTAATTTTTTAAAAAATGTTAAGAAGCTTCCTTTGTCTACGGCAAAAGACACTGGCCAGAAGAGCTTTATACATGGGAAATATGTTGGTACTGCTTGTACCAGACTTAGGCTGGAACTGCTTTACAACAAAACTCCAGTCTATGCCAGATTTGCTAGAATCCCATCAGTCCTACAACTAGGGTAACAAACTAGTTCAGGTTTGCACAATACATTTCCAGTTTTAATACTAAAAGTTCTACGCCCTAGAAAATCTCTCAGTTCCAAGCAAACCAGGATGTTTGGTTACCCTAACTCCAGCCTCTTCCAGTTATTGATGTTGGACAAGAAGCAGAGGCTCTTTAAGAGGAGCAAATATTGTATAGCAACTATGTAGATAAGGGATCTGAAAACCCTAATGCAGATTTTGGCCTTTCTGGAAGCAGTATGGAGGCCCTCTTTCACAGACACTCCAACAGCTAGCTGATAAATAGAAGGAATTGTTGTACCCCACAACTCAAGGTCCCCATGAAGGCTCAGTCACATGCAGAGAGATGTTAATAAGAAAGAAAATTCAAGGCTAAAAAACGTCAAGAACTGGAAGCATTAGAAAAATGTACTGAATTAGAGAAATGGCCTGCAATATAAGTCTTCCATTATTTCCACTAGAAGAGGAGGTGGTGTCCAAGATAGACAGAAGGTGTTAGGAGTTCATCTTTCTGGAAAATGTGATTTAAGTGATCATTTTATTCAAATCATTTGATAACTGAGCTCTTTGAGCTCCTCAAAGATCAAATGAGCTGAATTATACAGCTTGAATACAGAAATATACTCATACCTTGAATATTAAACTGGAGAAATTGGGTTCACTGAGGAGGTAGTCACTGTCACAGCTGTGCGTCATGATCTGAGAGGTGTGTATGAAGAGCTGGCAATGACTGGAACACTTCTAACCTCTTTAGAGTTTAGTAATCTACTATGAGCAACATCCAGGCGCCAGCCATAAAGAGAGTTGTTTTTATAGTCTGTGCTCACAGTGTGGTTTAGTATAGTAGAGATGAAACAAAGGCTCAAGCTGCCGCTTTCTTGAAAAGGCATCCTAGGATAGAATTGAATGAATTCTGATCTTTCAGAGAAAAGTCTGGCATTGTCTGAATCTAGGAATTGCTAGGACATATTAAAGATTTGCTAATTAATGGCAGAACTCTTGATTTATAAAGCCTTTATATATGGTAATTGTTGGATTTGCTATAATTTACTTTAAAATACTACAATTTAAACAGCAGTGTAGTGTAGTAGTTCATTGTAATCTGCACCCTAGGGGCAGTCAAGTTAACAGTTGAAATACCCTAATTAGGAATGCATTCTCCAAGTGTGGTTAGTTAGCATATGAAAGACTAACCTACTGCTTTTCCTATGAAGCTTTTATCTTAATGTTTATTTTTTTATCTATACCAAAAGTTCTGTTAAGTAGGATAATGGATGTGAAAATGATTTCTTTCTTGGTGAAATTAGTGAAGCTCAGGATATGTGTATTTACTAAAAATAGTGCATTGTCTTTCCCCATTTTTGACTAAGCTGGGAAGTGTTATCTTGAACTGGTAGCCTATTCTCGTCTCAAGGTGCCCTAACGTTAGGATCCTCATAGGTCAGGGGATTTAGGTGGCCTGAAACAAAAGTAAAAATAGAGGATTACATGCCATATTTCAGAAGTTTTAAAGATCACAAATCAAGTTAACAAGCTGTTAAGTAAAATATGTTCGGCCAGGCGCAGTGACTCACGCCTGTAATCCCAGCACTTTGGGAGGCCGAGGCAGGGGGATCATGAGGTCAGGAGTTCAAGACCAGCCTGACCAATATGGTGAAACCCTGTCTCTACTAAAAATACAAAAATTAGCTAGATGTGTTGGTGCGTGCCAGTAGTACCAGCTACTTGGGAGGCTGAGGCAGAAGAATTGCTTGAACCTGGCGGGGTGGAGGTGGCAATGAGCCAAGATCATGCAACTGCACTCTAGCCTGGGTGATAGAGCAAGACTGCGTCTCAAAAAAAGCAAAAAAGTTCTAGTCTCTTTGCTTGACAAATGTATTTTCATAATAATAAAATAAAAAGATATGTGCCAAGTCATAGTTTTCAACCGGGCATGGTGGTGCATGCCTGTAGTTCCAGCTACGCAAAAGGCTAAGGCAGGATCGCCTGAGCCCAGGAGTTTGAGGCTGCAGTAAGCCATGATTGCGCCACTGCCCTCCAGACTGGGTGACATATATATATAGTTTTTATAAGACACTAGGTTGGCAAAATATTTTAAAATTAATTTTGATCATAATTAATTATTGTTTGGTGTTCTGTTAATGGAGGAATGTTTTAGATGATTAATAGAGATATAGAATTTGTAGATCATTATATCTTTATTCCATAAAATTATTTTTTCTTGCTTATATTTCACTTAGATTGTCGTCATCAAGGTTGTCACATAACGTATGTTCTACGGGATGAAAGTGTTTGAAAATGTAATTGAATTCAAAGTGCAACTGTATTTAACAACCAAATTTAAATATATTTTATAAAATGTATTTCAAATACATGTTAAAATAGGAAAGTTAAGGTTTTTGTACATTTTGTTTTAAAATATTTAGAAATGTCACAAAATTATAATTAATACATTTCAAATTTACAGACAAAATTATTCATATAAATTTGATACTTTAAGCTTAATATTTTGAAACTGTAATCAGATCATATTAAATGTTTCAAAACATAAACTCTTTTCTCACTCTGAAGCAGGTGGCATGGGCATAAAGTAGTACAACCTGTAAACCCTGTGTTTCAAGGGCTTAGGAGAAGCCTTTTCCTGGAACCTTTAGTTACCGGAATGATGTTTAGAATTTTACTATGCCCACATGGAGAGCTGGATTCCAAATGATAGAGGTGACCATTTGTTCCTTAATAAATTAATTTTTTTTGTATGTGTTACAATATTCAGGGCCCTCTAAGGTGCTGGGCTCCAGGAAGAGATTCTTCCTCTAGATTGTAAAGGCAATACTGCTACTTACAGTAGATTTTTGTCACCTGACTTTCTTGAAAC